TGCACAACATAAACATTGTCTTTGTTGTGTAAATAAAAGTTCTTAACTATTATTTTGGAGTGACTTTTTTTTTTTTTTTTAAGGAAATGCTGTACATATATCACAGCCCCTTGATAAGCAATATGGGTACACAAGATTGATATACACCTCAATTTTATTACAATTTCTAAAGAAAAGGCATCTATTCAGCAATACCATTGGGAAAAACCTTATGTAAGATTACTGTCAGGCACTAATAGCAACGCGCACACAGATGCAAATATTACAATCGGCAAAGCAATATGGTTTAAATGGCACAATAAAGTGACGGCTGAACTACAAATATAAACATCAATGACCCATCTCATAATACGGGACGACATCCATGCCCTGAATCACGGTCTGCCACAAAATGTGAATACATGCGCAGTATTGGGCCTGGTCCATGATTGGTAGCGCCATGTTGGAAATGACACAGCTTCAGACCAAAACAATTGGCTGCACAAGATTCAGATAGATCATTGTTTGTCCCGCCTACTGACTTTGATGGGTCACACTGACAGATAAAATTAATTCATGATTTGGTGAAAGTGCAAAAATTAAATAAATAGTGAAATAATTGTAAATGACACATGTAATTAATTAATAATGATTTTATTTCTAATGGTAGAATAATAATTCATGGCACATTTAATTAACAATATTTTTATTTCCCATTTTAAACAATTCATGGCACATTTAATTAATTAATTATTGGTGTATTTATTTATTTAATTTTGGCACTCTTAGCCCTCCATAGCCAAGGACTCAGTAATCTGTATTGTTTGTGCCTCCTTTTTTAAAATTTAAATTTGATCCTTTTGACCATTACCGTGATCAGTGTTTAATCACCCACTATCACACAAGGATTTGGTTAATTTCCATTTCCGAACTCACTAAATTAAGAGAATTTATTTAGACAAGTCTGTACATTGTACTTCATTCAAACACATAAACTTTAATCTTTATTAAACTTATTATACTCATAATACAAATATAAATAGAAATGAACACTTCCATGGACGCTACACACACATTTAAAAAAATAGCTAACATGTCACACTTAAATATACTCTCAAAAGTACAGAAGATCAATCGGAGTCAATCCCTAAATTCAAAGAGTGGCTGAACCCATATGAAGGTTGTGCACTATGAGTAAAAAAATTAAAAAGATATTCTGTTGCTTCTAACTTTCTCTCTGAGTGATCAATTTACATGTAAAAATAATCAAAATCACACCACATCTGTTGTCTTTAAATTATATGTATGATGATTTTGTCAGATGGCGTTGCAGTTATAAAATCAAAATTTTAGCAGTGCAGAGCAGCAGCTTGGAATTGACTGCTGGTTAACATGCAGTCTGAATGGGCTGCATTTCAGTCACTATTTCATACCCGTTCTGTTTCTGTTTCTGACTGACATAGGAAAAAAAATATAAAAAACGGCATTATTGGGAATTTGACTGTATGAAAATACACTATATCGAAGCACAGAGAGTAGGAGAGAGGCAAACAGATATAAAGGGCTGACATTGTCTGACACTAGGCAGAATGCGAGTTTGATGCAATGACATAACCAATATGCTAATTAGTGGATCTTCTAGCAACATTTTGATGTTTAGGTACTTTTCAAGCAGACTTTAGTGAGTAGTTAGAAGTAGTTTGCAACACTACTTTGAAGAGGGCAAGATGTAAGCACCTAGTAATGGCTATCTTCAAATGTCTGAGCATATTTTAAGGGAAAACAATATGGTAATGGTGAACTGATATGGGAATTTTGACCAATACCGATGGTTAGGGTTTCACCGATACCATTTTTTAAAGACCTTGCTGATATTGAGTACTGATACGAGTACTTAAGGTAACATTTATACCATTGAAAATAATAATGACCTAACCAGGCATAACCAAACCAATACTCAGATGAGAATTTGTCTGGACCCCATCAGTTCATTTACAGTTTTCACGGGGTATTACCAATGGGTGAATTAAACTTGAGAGTTGGTATGTTAAACTTTTACAAAAACCTGCTATACCATTACAGTGCGATGAACTGAAAGACAGTATTTTTTCCAGACTTCCTTGTTACAGCCTAATATGTTAACGTGAGTATCAAATAAAATGCATAACCTGAGGCCATTTCTAACCAAATATAAACAGAACTTCATGTTTACAGCATGTTTACAGCATATCATGTAAATAAGGTCTCTGAGGTACAAGAGTCCTCCTTTTCAATTGAAATTATAATGCAAAGAACATTCATTAATATGTCACTATGGCATGAAATATTTAGTCAGTTTATTTTCTATGAGGGTGATACATTAGAATGAAAACTGGATATATGCCTCTACTGGGCCATGCTACACAATCCCAACTAGGGATGCTCATTTCAATTAATTTTCCCAACCGACAACCACCGTTTGTTATCTGAACATTAATCGTTAACTTATCAGATTAGAATATTAAATTAGAATTGAATGAAGGAGTGTCTGATTTTTTCAGTTTTATTTTAACATGTGCGAACAACAGCACACAGAACATATCAAGAACAGAATCTGGATTCACACATCGTCAAATTTTCACGCACCTGCAGCGTTTCCGACAACAGAGAAAAACAAATTAATATAAATAAAAAGAATAAGTACTTCTTTTCACTCGCTTCATTTTGCTTGCCCGGCAAAATACGTCTGAAGGCACGTGTGGAACCTTGCACGTGATAACGCCCCATGAGTTAACAAATAGTGTATGTGTAGCATATTTATGCCACAAAACTTTATACTGCTACTAATAATAATAATTTAAAAAAAAATATATAAAAACATTTTAAACCGTTTAACTGATAGAATGAATTTTGACCGATTTATTACTTTCGGTTAACGGTTAAACGGTCAATATGAGCATGCCTAATCCCAACCCACTTATTTTTCTATCACTGGGACGTTTTTACTCCTCTCCTCCTCTCTTTAATTATAAACAAAACACACTGGTTCACACTGGTACTGTCTCCACATTTTAATTAAACAAAATGTCGATAAAACCATTTCAGTTAGCATATAATATTGCTGTTTCTAAGAAGTAAACATTTTTGGAAAAGTAAGAGGCTGGTTCTTTTTGAAGAATAGAGTCATCTCAGTATGATCAGCTGTGAGCCTGTTTCTGTTTTCATTCACAATATATGACACTGAGCTGAACAACCTTCCACTGTCAACACTACTGCATGGTGCTGAGAGGTACCTGTGCAACGTTTGTGCCATAGTGGGGAAATGCAATTTGTTAACCGCCCGGTAGTGCAGTGGATTGCTTTCCCGAGAAATTGTGGTCTCTCCAAGGTATGTCTCTAGCTGTGCAACAGGACCTACTGCAGCTCTGTTCAGTGATGTCAATGCTTACTCATCTGCTATTTCATCATACACACTGCCTAGACCAGTGGTTCTCAAACTGGGGGCCACCAGATGGCGCTAGGGGGGCCACATCGAAATTGTAGAATCTAAAAAAAAAAAAATTACCTGTATGTAAATCAGGCTTGTCAACCTATGTAAAATATAATGTATTTTAAAAAAAATAGAAGTATAAAAAAAATGTAAATATAAATTTTACTTAGCACACTACGCTGCTATGGACATTATAAATTACTGTTCAGTATTCAGTGCTTTTGTTGCACTTTTCAGACAATTTTAGTTTTACTGTCAAAACTGTTTTAATACAATGTTATATTTTGTGAAATGTAAATTTAACAAACCAGAGAAATAAAGACTACAAACAGAATCTAAAATCTAAAATTAAGTAAAATTGTAAGTTTGAGGATGTTTTGCGTCATGATTTTTTTTTTTTGAGGAGGCGGGCCACAAAAGGATTCACCCTACACAAGGGGGCCTCCTGCTGAAAAAGTTTGAGAACCACTGGCCTAGACTGCTGCTGGCCTGGACCCGGCATGGTTTTTTGGCATATGGTTCATCCTGATCCCCTGATCCTCCTGCATGCCTGCCTCTTCTTCATACAACCTCAGCAGCTTGTGCATCACCATCTCTGGTGGAGAAAAAAACAATTTTTACACGTACAACAGAAGTGCTGACAATGCGCATGTTTGCCTTAATGATATGACTTGTTAAAAAAAAAAAAAAAAACACATTTTCCATTATATTAATGGATTGCATCAAAGTGAAATACTAAAACTTTTTAGCAGGCCATAATGACATCATATTTAGTTTTCATCTCTCTCTCTCACACACACACACACACAAACATGTTCACGTTACCTGGGATCGAGAAGAGTTGCTGTAGAGTGGGTTTTTTTCAACATCAGAAAAGTGCTTCTTAACAGCTGCTGCTAAGGTTCCATTCATGGATTTTGATGCCATGGTCCTCATGTGTTTCTTTCAATACAAATCTCTGCAGCACAGTGACGGCAGGAATCACCTCTGCTTTAATAGCCTCAGAAGAGCTCACTTTTCTGGTTAACTCCTCAAATGGAGCCAGAACAGCTAGTGTTTTCTTCTTCTTCCAGTAGTGTCCACCAGTGAGCAGTGAGATAGTCGGTGAGTTCATACTCTGACCCAAATGTTCCCACTCTATCAGGTGAAACGTACTGTTCCAGTGCATTTGCACATCTTGCTGGAAACTTTTTATGGACTGATTAAATTGTACCTTAATGTCTTTGAGGTGGGAGTAGGTTAAGGTAGACTGCTTAAAATGTCTGACTGTTTTGCACCTAATTGCAACCATATCAACAACATTTCTGTGACAGTAGGCCATCATGAACTACCAGCTGGAGCATGTGAGTGGCACATGGCAGGCTAGGGAGTCATGCATCATTCATGGCCTTTATCATATTTTTGCATTGTCTCAGAACACAACATGGAAAGAAGATTTCGGAATGCCCAGAATCTGAAGCATATCGTCACCTGATATAGCTTGGCTGGTGTGTGAGCACTTGAATGGCTTTGCTTGTAATGTGAGTTGGTGCAGCAGGCATTAAAGTAAGTAAAATCCTCATCAATCCACTGTGTGGTTAAACTGAGGAGAGACATCGGGCATACACTGCTGGTCCAGATATCACCTATGAAGCTGGAGACTGAAACTTCATGCATCATGCCGCTAATGTGCATTTCCACAACATCGAAAACCTTTGGTAAAACAGCATCTGTGATGTGACTGGGAATCTGATAACTTGACTCCAGTACGCCAAGAAGACGACAAAATCTCACATTATGAACAAACAACGACTGGTCATCAAGAGCAATGTAGTGAGTAAGATCCTCTGTTATTTTTACTGCTCGTGAGTTTTCCCTAGACATTTTGTCTCATTTCTCCAGAATTTGCACTGAAGTTTGTTGTTGTGGTCTTTGCTAACCTTAGCAAACTCTATGTACTCTGCACTATGGTGCGACTTTAAATGTCAAATTCGTTGTGTTGTCTCTTCCTCTTCTTGACACTTCAGCAGAACAGAACTTGCAGTCTGCTTTACTTCTGTCCTCATCCCTTATCTTAAAAAATGTCCAAACTGCTAACATCCTCTGCGTATACTCGCCAATTTGCCAATGCTGATATTCTCTTAATTTATCCCTCCCAAATGTTTCTGGTTGACGAATCTCTTGCTAGATACCAAAATCCATTTTGGGCAGCAAAAAAAAAGGTAAAATGTCATGGCTTTGCGTTTTAACGTAATGTTGCAATTAAATGGTATCAGTTCTTGGTATTGGAAATTTTTTACGAATATGGATTATGGCTGCTACCATTAGTTGATGTAGTCGATGACGCAATAATTTAAATTGATGCATCATTATCATTTTAATAAAATTTTAATTGAATTACAAAATGCTTCAGTTCATTATAAGAAATGTTTTCCTTTAATATCACTACATAACTATGGGAGTAGTTAAAATTACAGTGGAATCTGCTTATAGTGAATCTGTCTCAGTGAAATGATACGCGGTTTATCATTATAACGGATTATTTTCCTTTTTCTTTATGTCTCAGGCAGATTGCCATCTAATTGACATTTGTATATTTATTTCATGAATATAAGGCATTAAAATGGGCAGCGTTGCTATTTCCAGACTTGCTTTTTAAATTACAGTACTGTATAAATTAAATTGCTGAACTATGTATAATTCCAATACGCTATCATACTGTTGCGCCCACGACATCTGCATGTCCCGGCATACCGCGCGAGCGTGTGTATATAGCCCTGTGTATGGCTTGTTTATAGCTCCTGTTTGTATTCTTTTAGTATAGGTACTTGTTGTGCTGTGTATCCAGTTGCCGCGTGTGCCTTTAACTGTGGTTGTACTCGGTTCTTGCCTGATCCTTGTGTGTCTTAGCCATTGTAATTACCCACCGTGTGTGCTTTATAGTCCTTAGTGTAATGTCCCTGTATTTCTCTGTCATTCATGGCTTTTGTATTAGTTGCTTGTTGTAGGGTTTCTTTAAGGAGTAACATAAAGAAAAACTTTGTGTCAGTCTGCCTCTCGTCATTTTCATTTGTCGCCGCTGCCTCCGTCTGCTAAAGTACAATATTATAATGACCAGATTTAAGAAATAAGATCTCCGAGGTTATGCTGTAGAACATGGAACATGGAAGTGGCTGCGGTTATGTCCACAGACACTAACTCAAAAGGAATAATAATCTCCACACCCCATGACAGAATAAGACTCACTCAGCTCCCAACCCCAAACTCTCCGAAAACATCTCCCCCTCCCTCACGTCCCACATCACACGCAATTCCATAACCACACCCTCATAAGTACAGAACCTAAACTTAACAGAATAACATGGAACACATAATACCTGAAGGTATTACAATATTGTGCATAAAATATTGTAGTTTCACCGTTGCATCTCGGTGGCTTGTTTTTGGCAGTTTATCATAAGCTTTAATGAAACTATATTTGTCATTGAGAGAAAATTATGAAATGAGATCAGTGTCAAATATACGAGAGCGCAGATGCATAGCTAAACCGAGCAAAACGGACACTACGAGGGCGGAAAATGATGGAAGACCGAACACATTAAGAGGCGACGAGAGCATAGGATAAGCACTGTGCCTTTGAAACGCAGATAGGACCACTCACTTCTCGCAGCCTCACGCTCGATTCACCATTCCTTGCGTGCTTCTTAGTTTTCTGCTCACTTCTGAAATCCCTGTGCGCCTCACAATTTTCTGCTCGTTTTGTAATTAAAACAGGAAATTACGTCAGAGATCGAAGACGTGGTAGCTGATTTCCGAGACGAAGAACGAATTTTTTCAGTTAAGGCAACTACTAGCCAGTTAGCTCACGTTATCCTACCGTAAAATAAACACATTTCTACTTTTACAGAGCCTTTCATGAAGTTATTTTGTGTCTTAGTTTCTAGCATATAGTTTTTAATTGTTTGTGTGGTTTCTCGGTCGTCTTATTACAAGACAAGACAAGTTTATTATCATACACAGGAGTTATTTAATGTGCTTTATAAAAACAAGATTAAACCAAATGTTAAATCTTTCTTGGGCCAAAAAACAAAACCAAAGTGCAGTATGTCATGCCCCGCACCGCTCGTCCGCTCCCGTGAGTCACGCCCCCTCGTTAACCTCCTGTGGAATTCTAACGTCCTCAGCTGTTTCCAGTTGTTTTCATTAGTCTAATGTATTTAAGTCTGCGTTAGTGGTGTTTTCCCCTGTCCGGTCATTGACGTCCGTTTTGCGTTTCTTCGATGATCCTGTTTTGTCTCCCTTCGAATAAAGCCTTGTTCACCTGATCTCACGGCATGTGTGCTGATTCTCCGCCGAAAGGCGTGACACAGTAAATGTCCAGCTAAAAATCAGACACAGTTAGAGGTTTTATATTATATCAATGTTTTCATTGGTTTGTTTTGTTTAGTTTATTAGGCTGTTATCTCATCTAACATTTGATTCCTGATGTGGTGTCCAGCTTTTATTAAGCACAGTTTGGTACCTCATGGCATATGTAAAGTGTATTACATATTACAGTTCTGATATACAGTGGTACCTCAGTTCTCAAACTCATTAAAACTCGAATTTCTTAAAAGTCGAACCAACCAGTTCGAAAAAAAATTACCTAGAACTCGATCTGAATCTCAGAAGTCAAACCGTGAACGCCGACCTAAGATACGCGCAGGGTAATGAGTCACACAGCACGTCTCTCAGCTGAAACATAGGGTAACGCTTCAGTCTAAGCCTCGCATGTGCTGTGATAGCATCGTGCATGTTTACACTAGCTGAATACATATATTTAGACAGTAAAAATACATTTAGACAATGATAGACAGTAATTATTATATAATAAAATACATTTAAAAACATTTAAATACTAATACGGTGTTTGACCCCCTTTCGCCTTCAGAACTGCCTTAATTCTACGTGGCATTGATTCAACAAGGT